GCATCAGGTGGCCAGAGTATTGGTGCTTCAGCTTCAGCATCAGTCCTTTCAGTGAATATTCAGAGTTGATTTCCTTTAGGATTGACTGGTTTCATCTCCTTGCAGTCCAAGGGACTCTCAAGTGTCTTCTCCAGCACCAGATTCAAAGGCATCAATTCTTTAGCACTCAGCCTTCTTTATGGTTCAGCTCTCACATCCATGCATGACTACTACAAAAACCATAGCTTAGACTAGACGAACCTTTTGTTGGCAAGGTAATGTCTTGGCTTTTTAATATGCTGTCTAGGTTTGTCGTAGCTTTCCTTCCAAGGAGTGTCTTAATTTCATGGCTGCAGTCACCATCTGCAGTGATTTTGGAGCCCAAGAAAATAAAATCTGTCACTGCTTCCATTTTTTCCCCCTTCAATTTGCCATAAAGTGATGGAACTGGATGTCCTGATCTTAGTTTTTAGAACTGTAAATTTATAATAACTGAGAATTCAGTATAATAACCTATTAGACATAGCAGAAGAAAAAAATTAGTGAATTGGAATATCAGTAGAAAATTTCGGCTTAAAACAGAGATAAGGCTTTGGAAAATATAGGCAGGAGTGTGAAAGCCATATAGGACTCATTGAGAAGATCTAACATGTATGTAGTTGTAGTCCAAATAGGAAAGGTGAGGAAGAATATGGATGGGCAAAAAGCAAGATTTGAAGAGATCCTGGCCAAGAATTTTCCCAAATTAATAAAGTTGGCAAGTCACAGTTTAATGAAGCTCTACAAATCCCAAGGATAAATAAAAGGACACCACACCTGGGCCTATTGGAATAAGATTGTTGAAGAGGGAAATAAACAGAAAATCCTAAAAGCAGTCAGAGAGAAAAATATATATCACCTTTAAAGCATCAAATATAAGACTGGCAGAAAACCTTTGCCTTCAACAGAAGGGAAAGAATCTAGAAGACTATAAAATGACACCTTTAAAGTGATAGAGAAAAATAATTACTACTAATTTAGAATTCCATATCCAGTGAAAATATACTCCAGAAATGAAGCTGGACTAAAATTTGAGAGAATTCATCACTAACTGGCTAGAATCAAGATTGCCAGAAGAAATATCAATAACCTCAGATATGCAGATGATAGTGCTCTAAAGGCAGAAAGCAAAGAGAAACTAAAGAGCTTCTTGATGAAGGTGAAAGAGAAGAGTGAAAAAGCTGACTTAAAACTCAACATTCAAAAAACTAAGATCGTGGCATCCAGTCTCATCACTTCATGGCAAATAGATGGGGAAGAGTGCAAATAGTGACAGATTTTATTTTCTTGAGCTCCTAAATCATTGCAGAGAGAGACCGTAACCATGAAATGAAAAGAAAATTTGCTCTTTGGAAGAAAAGCTATGACAAACCTAGACAGTGTGTTAAAAAGCAAAGACATCACTTTGCTGACAAAGGTCCATATAGTCAAAGCTATGGTTTTTTTTCAGTAATCATTTATGGATGTTAGAGTTGGACCATAAAGAAGGCTGAGTGCTGAAGAATTGATGTCTTCTAACTGAGATGCTGGTGAAGACTCTTGAGAGTCCCCTAGACAGACAGGAGATCAAACCTGTCAATCCTGAAGGAAATCAACTCTGAATACTCATTGGAAGGACTGATGCTGAGGCTGAAGCTCCATTGTTTTGGCAATCTGATGTGAAGAGCCGACTCATTGGAAAAGACTGTGATGCTGGGAAAGCTTGAGGGCAGGAGGAGAAGGGGACTACAGAGGATGAAATGATTAAATGGCATCACCAACTCAATGGGCATGAGTCTGAGCAAACTCCAGGAGATAGTGAAGGACAGGCAAGCCTGGTGTGCTGCAGTGTATGGGGTTGCAAAGAGTTGGACACAAGCTAGCAACTGAATAACAATGACAATAGCAAATCAATTGGTACTAAATGAAATACTGAGTTATTCTCCAGGAAAAAAATGATCTTAGAAGTAAGGTGGGTGAGAGTGAATGAAGAGTAAAAGAAACAGTAAATGTGTGGGTAAAACTAAATAAATATTGTCTGTTTAAAATAATTTAATGACCAATGACCATTTCCGTTGTGCTCAAGTTCTGTTGTGCATTGACTTTGTATAGTACCAAGGCTACACTTCCTGAAGGCTGTTCAGGTTAATGACTGAAAGCATCAGGGAGACTAAGGCAGGCCCATGCCTGGGGTCACTGAACTCTTCTGATGGCTGACCTTGGGTCAAGGACTTCCTGCAAGCCTTGCAAACTTTCCTTAGATGGCATGCTAGTCTAGGTCACTTTCACTCAACCTTTCTTCCCTCTCTATTAAACCAAGTTTCAGACTTCAGTTGCAGTCTGGATTACTTCTCATTTTCTCTCATAGGTGTTTTCCCTCCTAAAATCTTTATACATTTACACACTGCTATATTAAAAATGGATAACCAACAAGGATCTACTGTACTGAATAGGGAACTCTGCAGTTACGTGGCAGCCTGAAGAGGAGGGGAGTTTGGAGGAGAATGGATACATGTATATGTATGGCTGAGTTCTTTTGCTGTCCACCAGAAACTATCACAACATTGTTAATTGGCTATCAGTTCAGTCACTCAGTTGTGTCTGACTCTTTGCGACCCCATGGACTGCATCACACCAGGCTTTCCTGTCCCTCACAAGCTCCCAAAGTTTGCTCAAACTCATGTCCATTGAGTCAGTGTGATGCCATCCAACCATCCCATCCTCTGTCGTCCCCTTCTCCTCCCGCCTTCAATCTTTCCCAGCATCAGGGTCTTTTCAAATGAGTCAGCTTTTCGCATCAGGTGGCCAAAGTATTGGAGTTTCTGCTTCAACCTCAGTCCTACCAATGAACACCCAGGACTGATCTCCTTTAGGANGAAATTTGGTTCTCTCTCTCAAAAGCTTTGTACATAGAATTGGCATCTGCTTTTCAAAGACCCAGATGAATACAGTAGAATTAAATATATGAGAAATAGCACAAAAGACAGGAGGCAGTAATTGGAGTAAAAGTGTTACAAGGTCCTTGTATTAACTAAGTGGTGAAGAACTAATTTAAGACAGATTGTAATATATAAAGTCAAGAGAAAATAATAAGAAGAAATTTACAAATAAGCTAACATGGTAGAAATAGAATAATAAAGACTTGAAAAAGTTAAAGCAAGAAAGGGTAAAAGGCGAAAAAGAATAGCTGGCATAAATAGAAAGCTAGTAATAAAATGTCCCATGTAGAATTGTTCTTATATGGTTTTTATCTTTGATGCCATGCTTTTAGAAAGGCCATTTCCATTGTACCAGAAATGATTATCTACATATTATAGTTTTATTTTTAAAATTTATATTATAATTCTTCTGGAATTATTCTGAAATAATGTATGAATTAGGATTCCAACTTATTTTTTTTTTTTACCACTTCTCAAATGATTACCCAATGATCTTAGCACCACTTGTTTTTTAAAAATTTTTTATTGGAGTATAGTTATAATGTGTTAGTTTTAGGAGTACAGCAAAGTGAATCAGTTATATGTATGTGTGTGTGTATATATATACACACACACACACACATACTTTTTTAAAAAATTCGTTCCCCATATTGGCCATTATACAGTATTGAGTAGAGTTTTCTGTCAGCACCACTTTTTAAATGAATTATCTTTTGTCTGCTGATTTGAAGTGCCAACCAATTTTATCAAATAAAAAATTCCAAAGTAAACCCAAGTGTAAATTAGATTACTGTGTTTATCCATAGTCTAGGACAATGCCTGGCATTTAATAGATGTTCAATAAATTTGTTGAATGAATAAGAACTAAAGAGAGAAAATCCCATTTTTGTCTTTAGAGAACTTGTAATCTAATTGCAGAGATAGGAACAATATAGACAAAAGATCAGGAAATTAATGGCAGAGATAGACAAAAGATAGGACCAATGCAGATGAAAGATAGAAAAATGTTATTTCAGTTAAGTTCGGTAGAAGTTTTAATTTGAAGGAGTTTTAATGTGATTCAGGGAGAATTGAGAGTCATAACTTTTGGAGACGAGAATCATTATCGTATGAGAAGAAGATATTTTTGGCTCCTCTTGGAGGACTGCATTGTGGAGGGGTAAGGTTATCCATCCTAAGAGATCCTAAGAGATCCTGAGAGATCCTGAGAGATCCTAAGCCATATAAACATGTATAGAAAGGAGCAGAGCTGTCTGAAGGCAGGTTGGGCTTTTTAAATTTTTTGGTGGAAATGCCTTCCAAATACGGGATTCTGAGGTTCTCTGTAACCATGGACATGTTGTGTTTGGTAAAAAGATAAAATAGATTTTTTTTTTCTGTTTTTCTCAAAAAAAAAACTCCTTAAAATACCAAACTTTACCTATGATAGCAGAAAACAGAATATAATGCATTTATACTTACCATGCACAATAGACATTTAGATTTTTGAAGTATTCTGACAGAGCTATGTACATACAAGTTCCACTAGCCAATAATGTCTTTTGTCTCCTTGATTCCCACTCAGGTTTTCATAAAAGAGTACTAATGTCAGACATAGAAATTATTACAGGAAAAATAATTTGTTATTTTGTAAAGATCATCTTTTTGTGCTTGGAAACTAAGCACAATATTCTCTTAATATTTGGTTCCTAGAATGGATAGACTCAGATAATAATTATTGACATTGTTAGCTAATTGCTAACTGCATAACCCTTAAAAAATTTTGAAAGGGCAATGAGATTGAGTGTATTTTGTATGATTGATTTCTTCTTCTTAAGAGAGAATAGATTTATCCTGTTATAATGTTTTGAGATTTTGTTTATTTTATATTTAAAAAAAATCTTCCTTGTGACAGCACAGTGAGTCTAACAGTTATGATACAAGATTTGCTTATAGTCAATCTTACTTAATACCTAAACCAGTATCTCATGTTAAATATTATCAGTAGAGAAAGCAGTTCATAATTGCAGGATGCCAGTTTGCAAATGCATATATATTTGATGGTCTTAAAATTTGTTTCCCTAGGAAATATAACTTTTGAAACAATGGTGGAAATTCTCCGAGATAAACCAAGTGGCATTAATATGGAGGGAGAATTCCTGACCACTGCAAGCATGGTTTCTGTTTTACCTCAAGATTCCAACCTTCCTTGCATTCACTTCTTTACAGGGACTCCTCATCCTGAGAGGTAAAGTCA